TTTAGTTATCCTCTGAGAATTAAGCTTACAAAACAAAATCATAATTACCAGATGACACAATTTTCTGTCTTGGCAGCATTTCATATGAAAAAGTACTTGATATTCTACTAGGAATGTGACAGATTTACTCAGAATACAGTCAGCTGTGAAAATAAAATGTCCTCAGCCTCTAGGCAGTAGAGGGGGATGTCCTAAATATGTGACCAATTTGATAAACTGTTGCAATTATTTATTTGTTAATTTGTTTTTGCAGTATAGAGATTGAACCCAAGGGCACATTACCACTGAGCTACATTCCCAGCCCTTTTTTGTTTGTAGTGGGGATTTTTTGTTTGTTTTGTTTTATTGTACTGGGGGATTGAACCCAGGAGCTTTTAACCACTGAGCCACTGAGCTAAGGGCCTTGCTAAATTGCTGAGGCTGACCTTGAACTTGCAGTTCTCCTTCCTCAGCCTCCTAAATTTCTGGAATCACAGGCATGTGCCATGTTGCAAAAATTAAAGCCTTTACATTTAGGTTAAAGCACCCAAACACTTTCAGCCTTCTTCCCTCAAAATGGCATCTGAGGGACAGAAGGGTGAGAGATGGCTGACATGAACTTGAGACACTGATGGGGCATCTGGGTCCTGAAACATGTATGTTTTCTTTTGGATTCTTCCTAGATTTTTCTTTCAAGGTGGCCAATTTTGACTGCTCCTTAAGGTACAATGAGTTCTCCTTAAAGTGCATACCTGTAATCCCAGCAAATCAGGAGGCTGAAGCAGGAGGATTGAATATTCAAGACCAGCTTTGACAACTTAATGATACTCTATCTCAAAAAATGAAAAGGGTTTGGGATGTTACTCAGTGCCTCTGGGTTCAATTCCTAGTACCAAAAAATAAATGAGAGAGAGAGAGAGAAAGATATAATGAGTCTTGGGCATTCCATTGCTGGAACTTGCTGGTGAAGACGGCTGTAACCTGTCTCAGCTGCATCAGGGGCCATGGTCCTATTGTCTGACCTAGTTGATTCAACTTCACCAACACTGTGAAACCTCCTGAATCTCTGCCCCAATTATCTCAAGAGTTCCTTAACTGTTGACACAGCAGGCCCTTTAGCAGACCTTCTGGCTCTTGAGATGTCTCTACACAAGACAAGTGGGGTCCTGGGCATATGTTACATAAAAGATTTCAGCATGTGTCAGAGACAGACAAAACTTTATTTAGGGGCTGGGGATGTGGCTCAAGCGGTAGCGTGCTCGCCTGGCATGCGTGCTGCCCRGGTTCGATCCTCAGCACCACATAGCAACAAAGATGTTGTGTCTGCTGAGAACTAAAAAATAAAAAAGTCTCTCTCTCTCTCTCTCTCTCTCTCTCTCTTTCTCTCTCTCTCCTCTCACTCTCTCTTTAAAAAAAAAAAAAAAACTTTATTTAGGAAGGCAAAGATACATTTAAGGGAGAACATGGGCTATCTCAAGAGGAGAAGTTTTTGGAATAAAGCAAGGAATACACATTCAAGGGGGAAGGCAGGCCATCTCCAGATGAACAGACAGAAATCTTGGTGTGGGGTGTTAATTTTTATAGAGAGATGGTTGCTAGGGCTAAAGCTGGAGCCAGAGCAGAGTTACATAGTTGGTACCAGTTTTCTCAGCACTTGCGCATTGCCCTCCTGTTACCTTTTGCCGGAAAAGTCACTGGCTGAGAACATGGGCTGGGGTGCTCATAAATGCWTGTTTTGGATGTTTCCTGCATGTTAGAGATTCATGAGTGCTTCTTTTGAGATTCAGTCTAACTTTAATTTTCTGCATCCCCAAATTCTTAAGCACAGCTATATATAGTTTCATGACATCTCTTAGTACTCTCCCTCTAATACTGTGGAGGGAGATTTATCCTGCACCATTGAATTTACATGGAGTGTTTACCCCTAGGTTGGGTCTGAACAGCCCATAATGCCATGTGCTTCTAGTTCTGCCCTCAGCATACCCTTAAACATATCACATCTTGTCCTTCCAAATTGAAGTCCCTATTTTGTCTGTTCTACGATCTCAGGGAATAAATAGAATGAATAGACTTTTCCTCTTGACCTGTATCACTGATTGGGCACTCTCCATGTAAAACTCTTCATTAAAGTTCACTAAGTTAAGTAATTAATATACTAAATATATTAAATATTTTTTAAATAAATAAAGAGGGAAATTAAAAAATTTAGAAAATTAATTTCTTTCTTGACAAAGTCTGGCTTTGTCCTATTTAAAAGCCTGGTGARTTTGCTTTTGAGGAATTATACTGGGAAGCTGAAGGGTAAAATGGAAGGGAAACTCCAGTTACACTGTCTACTCTTCAGTATCTGTTTAAACTGGTACCATGTACAATGTGACATTCAACTAGTTTGCACCAGTACAGATGTACTAGTTCTTTTCAGCCTGTTCATTCTGATTGGCTAATAGTACCTAAGTGATGAGTGTCAGTAATATTTTAGTATTACTCATGACTATGCATAACTAACTAATGAAGCCATGTGGTTTGATTGTTTAAGTGTGTTTTGGAAATATTCCTTTTAAAAAATATATAGCAATATTCTTTTCATTTCTATTGAATTAATCCTAATTTCTTCCTTTTTTTCACCTCACCTCAGTGCACACAGAGGAGAGCAATGCTGCAGGCTGAGTAAGAAGGAGGTCAAGTAGCTAAGAATGTGAAAGAGAAACTGTAACATACCATCTTCCTATCAAGAATTTGTAACCCCATTCCTATCTCCCACTCTTAACAAATTATGATTTTTTCAGTTACTTCTTTTTCCCAGTCACATGCTTCAGGAGGCAATGACCATTCTCAGCTCAAGGGGGGAAACCATGAYTGATATGAACCCACCTGAATGGGGCCCTGTCTTCTTTCTGGGGTTTAGTCATGAGCAGGTGACTAATATGACCAAGGGAGCATGGAGGGGAATTATTCTGGGGGACTTTGGCAAGTGCTTTCTTTGTGGAACAGAAAACAGATAAATAACTGAGCATGATGGCATAAACCAGTAATCCCAGTGACTTAGGAGGCTGAGACAGGAGGACCATAATTTTAAGGCCAGACTCAGCAATTTAGCAAGATCCTATCTCAAAAATATAAGAAAGACTAGAAATGTAGCAGTCTTGGGTTCAATCTCTAGTACCAAAAACAAATATAGATAAATAGGGCTGGGGATATGGCTCAGTGGTAGTGCATTTACCTAGTATGTGCAAGGTCTTGGATTCAAACTTCAACTCTGAAAAAAAAAAACTGAGAATAAAAACAATTGCACAACCATATCCATATGTTTCTATATCTATATGTGATGCCTGAAATTGCTGCAAGCATCATGAAAATACAGGAAGAATGAGCCAATGTACACAAGATGGCAGAGCTAAGGGATAGAAAGATGTAGTTGAGCCATTCCATTAATCTAATCAGGAACTGGCCTACCTCCTTTCTGTTAAACAAAATAATAAACATTCTCTCATTTAAGCCATTCTCAGTTGGTTCTACTTTCGTTTGTTGCCGAACATATCTGAGTTAGGCATTTGTTCAGTAACAATCAGATACATGTTCCTACCCTTTTCCTTGTTCTGCTCTGTGTTGCTGGAACTGACCCTGTTTCCCAGTTTCCCTTGTGAACTGACTTCTGGCTACATTGAGCCAATGGGAAGCACTGATGAGAGACCTGAAGGAAGGAAGACCAATGTATTTCTCCCTCTCCCTTTGCTTCTGGCCATGGCTCCATTTCTTCTGTAGTTTTGGCTTCCCAAGATGGCACTTTCCTTGATGGTCCCACTTCCTGCTAGGCAGTCCCTGATTTTTCTCAGTAACTTGGTGTTTACCTTACTATCACTCTTAGACTTTTAGCTCTTGTAGGTTTTTTTTTTTTTTTTTTTTTTTTTTTTTTTTTAGTTTTAGTTGGACACAACACCTTTATTTTACTTGTTTATTTTTGTATGTGGTGCTGAGGAGGGTCTTACACGTGCGAGGCGAGTGCTCCACCACTGAACCACAACCCCAGCCCTCTTGTAGGTTCTTTTTAATTAGTTTTAATTAAACATTCTTTACTGAACTATCAGTTGTGAACTCCACTTCCTGATTGGACCCTGTTCCCTCTGCCTAACTGAATCAATACTTAAGAAGGGCTGGGGATGTGGCTCAAGCAGTAGGGTGCTCGCCTGGCATGCGTGCGACCCGGTTCGATCCTCAGCACCACATACAAACAAAGATGTTGTGTCCGCCAAAAACTGAAAAATAAATATTAAAATTCTCTCTCTCTCTTAAAAAAAAAATACTTAAGAAGGAGACAGGAGGCAAGTGAGAAATGCTGCAAAAGTGGTTCCTGTTCCCCAAAGAGAAGTAACTGAGTCACTTTCCAATGCAAGTTTAAATTCTCTTCTCATACTTCTGTGAATTAGCATAAATGGAAATTCAAAAGTGAGATTAAATTATAGAAAATAAAAGAATCTACCCTTCTTTATCACACTCTAGTTTGGGACAGTTAAATTTCAATTAATTCATAAATATCATTACTGATATGCATTTTCATGCCATTTAACTTTCTCTACTGGAAATTGATCCCTGGAGTACTATACCACTGACCTAAACTCCAAGATTCTAGCCATTCAATTTCATATCAGCAGTATTTTTACATACTGTTGTACAGCTACCATTTTTAATAATATTCATATTAGTAGCTCCAGTGGCCCTGTTTATCCCATGAAACCCAGCTTTTATGGTACAGTTAACTAGAATACATCTGTATATAGTTTCAACCCATGCCAACCCCACTCTCTCTCCAAGAAAGAGGAACTGAGATTCCAATATTCTATTCAGTTTTTATTAACTGCCTTAACTTCTAAGGTAGACTAAACCAGGAGCTGTGAGACAAGGCAGCCACCTTCTGCCTTGCCCAAACACAGAGATCAATCACTAGAAAGACAGCAAACCAGTAATAAAACAGACATTCTTAATACTTCCCTCGGGAGGCGGGCGGGCAGAGGCAAGGCCTGTCGGGRGGTGAAGACACCCTCCACAGCACCTTCCGGACATGCCTGTCCTTGTAACGTAAACACTTCAATGGGAGCCTTCCTTTTTAAAGAAAGCCTCATGGTGTACCATCTGTTTGCCTCACTCAAGGGAAGGATGAAAGCTCTACATAGGAACGTGATGTGATGGATGAGACCTGTCATTATGCAAGTATTACGTCACTCTGAACAGACACTGAAAAGAGCTCTCATCTCTAAGAACCCAGCGCTTTTGTCACAGTATGAGAAATTAGATGCTAGGGAACAGCAATTAATGAAGGAAGCCAACCAGTGATCTTTATGGACCTATTATTTTGCAATCACAATCAGACTGAATAATCTCACATCCTGAGGCTCCTCAAGACTTTGAGCAGTTTTTCAGTAATCCCTACAGAAAGATACCCTCTCCAGAGAAGCACAGTATTTATTTACTGGCCATTGGATCTCTAGGAAACACCAGAGTTATCAGTGAAGAATATACTAAATGGCTCAAGGGCTACTGTGAAGCATTTTTCTATGGCATGAGTGTAAAACTCCTAGAACCGATTTCTGTTTCTGCCACATGGTGTTCTTTTAGAGTGAATGATCACACACGCAATTTACAAATTCATGCAGGGCATATCCTGAAGTTCTTAAAAAAGAAGAAACCTGAAGATGCTTTCTGTGTTGTGGGAGTAACAATGATTGATCTTTACCCAAGAGATTCCTGGAATTTTGTCTTTGGACAGGCTTCTTTGACAGATGGAGTGGGGATATTCAGCTTTGCTAGGTATGGCAGCGATTCCTATAGCTCACATTATAAAGGTACAGTGAAGAAGCTCTATAAAAAATCTTCCAATGACTATGCCATTTTTGATAACTACTTTATTCCTGAAATCACTAGTGTTTTGCTGCAGCGATCCTGTAAGACTTTATCCCATGAGATTGGACACATATTTGGACTGCGACACTGCCAGTGGCTCACATGCCTGATGCAGGGCTCCAACCACTTGGAGGAAGCTGACCGTCGTCCTCTAAACTTGTGTCCTATCTGTCTACGCAAGTTGCAGTGTGCCATTGGCTTCAATATTGCAGAAAGATACAAAGCACTGGTGAGGATTGATGATGTTAACACACCCAGAGCAACTCCGAAACYTAGTTGTGAAGATAATGTGCATTTACCGAAATCTGTAGAGGCCTTTCAGGATTGGAAAGAGTGGATAATGAAATGCCTTGCTGTTCTCCAAAAATGAGTATCTTCAGATAGGAGTAAATAAAATAAATATTTGCACATTAAAAAAAAAATACTGCCCTTGGAAGCAAAACTCTAAAGACCAATGATGGCAGACATTTCAACAAGTTAATTCATGTTTTATCTCCAGCCCTTTTTTTATATTTTATTTAGAGACAGGGTCTCACTAAATTGTTGAGGGCCTTGCTAAATTGCTAAGGCTGGCTTGGAACTCCCAATCCTCCTGCCTCATTCTCCTGAATCACTGGGATAGCAGGCATGCACCATGGCACCCAGCTTTTTTTAATTTTTGAGAGAAAGAATGTAAAGTTGAAGCTAAAAGATCTGTCTCTCCCCCCTCCTCTATTTCTCTCCTCTCTTCTCCCACTCTAATCTTTTTCCTTTTTATCTTTCCCTTGCTTCAAACATTTATTGATTTTTTTTTTTTTTAACATCCTTGGGCATTGTTCTGTGCTGTCCTCATATCCATGACAGAGGCAAAGATAACAAGATTAGTTCTGGTGTAACAGTGGAAGCAAAGCCTAATACTAGTTTCAYTGCTGCTGTTTTGTTAGGCTGGGGATAGAATCCAGAGGTGCTTTACCACTGAATTACATGCCCAGTCCTCTTTACTTTTTGTTTTGAGACAGGGCCTCACTAATTTGCTGAGGATGCCCTCAATGTTGTGATCCTCCTGCTTCAGCCTCCTGAGACTGGAATTATAGGCATGTGCTACTGCAACCAGCCTACACCAGTTTTAAAAATCAAAATCTAAGTTTTAAAGAAACCAGAAAACCCCTTCAGTAACATAAGTAACTCTCTTTCTGTACATTAAGTTTAATTATTTCAGCCTTCACACTCACTAAATAGGCATGTACTATCTTTGCAAAAGGAAGTAATCCAATGTCCCTTCCAACCATTTTTCTRCAGACAATGTCCTAAGACCACTATTTTCCCAGTCCAATATTTCCAAATATTTCCTTTACTTGAGTCTTAATCTGATCCAGTTTTGACATTTCATGATCTTGCAATCTTAGACTAACTCATAAATGTAATCCCTGTTAACCACCTCTGGTACCACAGTGAAGAACAAATACAACTACAATGGAATTTTCCATTTAGAACATGGGGAAATGGGGGCTGGGGTTGTGGCTCCGTGGTAGAGYGCTTGCCTCGAATGTGTGAGGCACTGGGTTCGATTCTCAGCACCACATATAAATAAAAACGAAAGGTCCATCAACAACTAAAATGAATAAAATAAATAAAAACTTAAAAAAAAAAAAAAAAAGAACATGGGGAAATGGGAAGAAACCAAAGGACATGTACCATATGTGGTTGGACAGTTAACAAAGCAAAACAGAGAACTGCCTCGTCTTGTGGACTTCATTGGGAAGAGGGCAGTAGTGAGAATTCTTTTAGCTTCAACTTTATATTCTTTCTCTCTTTTCTGTCAACTGGATCCTCTGATATTGCCAGCTGGTATCATTTCTATTGGCAGGGAAACATCTAAAAAGACATTAGAAGTTCTGAGGGTATGGCTCACTAGTAGAGAGGTAACATGCTCAAGGCCTTGGGTTCAATTCCCAGAACCACAAAAAATTAATTAATTAATTACATTMCGTGAACTATTTTATTTGGGGAGAGGCAATGAGGGTAGTAAGCTTTCTGTTCCTTTAACAATATATCTGAGGTAATCAACTTAAAAAGAGAAAAGGCTCACAGTTTTAAAGGTTCCAGTTCATGCATGTGACCCTATTGYTTTTGGGCCAATCAGTCTTGGTGAAACAGCACATCTCAGTGAGAGCACATGGGTAGAACAAGCCACTCACCTTGTTACAGCTGGGAAGCAGAAGAGAGAAAAAGAAAGGGACATGGTTCCACCACTTTGCTTCAAGGTCAGGTCCCCAAAGATCAGAAGATTTCCCAATAGGCCCCACTTCTTAAAAGATTCCTCCCAATAGTGCCAAATTGAGGACTAAGCATTTAATACATGGGTTTTGGGGGAACATTTTAGATTTAAATTTAAATTGTAGCAGGAGGGGTATATTTCATATGTAACCCTTTTCTTTCTTTCTTTCTTTTCTTTTTTTTTTTTTTTTTTTTTTTTTTGTTTTTTTGCTGAGGATCCAAGCCCAAGGCCTTGCACACACTAGGCATATGCTCTCTCTCTCATTAAGTTATACCCCTAGCCCTGCATTTCCATTTCCTTTTTTTCTTTTTTCTTTCTTTCTTTTTTTTTTTTTTTTAAGGTATCAGAGTTTGGAAATGAGGCCTGAGGTACTCTAAGGAACATTAGTTTTCATGAATCACAGCCCTATTATAAATAAAACTATTAGTTTCATTTTAGTGGAACTTCCCAAAAACAAATACCAAAAACTTTGTCAGGCCTGAAGGACTACTAAACTAAATATTGAAGGCTAGCCAACACCAAGGGGATTTCTGTGTTTTAGCAGTTACTCTGGGGAAGCACAGGGTACTCTGCTGGACAAAGTTTATCTCAGGAAATGAAGATGTGGATGAAGAAAGCTGACTGGGCTGGCAGAGAGCTCTTCTTTGCTAAACTCTAAAGGCTCACCATTGCCCTCAAACTGGATTCCAGTCCAATGTACTTTAAAATGGCAATGATATGGGCTGGGGATGTGGCTCAAGCAGTAGCGCACTTGCCTGGCATAGGTGCGGCCCGGGTTCGATCCTCAGCACCACATAGCAACAAAGATGTTGTGTCCGCCGAAAACTAAAAAATATTAAAAATTCTCTCTCTCTCTCTCTCTCATCTCATCTCTCTCTCTCTTTACAAAATAAATAAATAAATAAATAAATGGCAATGATGTATCTTTTGTCAGGAAGAAAGCCAATATGAGTCACTCTGGAATGGCTCAGAGAATTGGGATTCCCCAAGCCCTCTGTTGCACTCATTCTTTCCTCTTGCAGATGCCAGCCAGGCTCTTACACTTTCCTAGTCAGCATTTCTAACTTATGAAACAGAAACGGAAGTAAATCGAAAAAACTGACTTCTGTCCTTCAGTCCAACAAATAATTACCTTCTTGACCTGAACCTCAGCATTCTCTATGCACTTCCAAGAAAATCTCAGTAGGAGAGTATAAAGTTCTTATTGCATTTTATTTAAGGTAATTGGGAAAAAGCAACACAAATTGATTTATCAGTCTGGTCTAATCATGAGAGACAGTCCATGGAATAATTTGACCAGAGAAAATACAAAGAATTTTAGCCAGGAGCAATGCTATGCATCTAATCTGAGCTATTCAGGAGGGTGAGGCAGGAGGATTGCTGGAGCTCAGGAGTTCAAGGTTAGTCTGGGCAACATAGCAAGACCCT